AAAGTGGGGAAAAGAACAACAGCTCACCTGGAAAAGCAAAAGTCAGTGCCCTGTGAAGATACCAGCTTACATCATGACATATTAGCACTTTATGGAGTTGGGGAGGGGGAATAATACAATGATAACAAAATACACCAGAGACTTACTTCCTAGTTATTGTGTCCTTCATGCTCCATCTGAGTAATCTCCCTCTCTCTCTTTTTTTTTTTGCAATTGTTTTTATCCGTAATACTTCGATTTTAATCTGGATTGTTTAAAACCACATGGAGGATTTGGTTTTTTTTGGCAGAGTGAGAGACTAAAGCTTGAAAGTCAGAGGTCACATTTGTTTTCAGTCTCATGATATGTGATGTTTCTGTCAAGGGACATCATTGTTGGGTGGAGTTAGGGCATCACTTGGCCTTAATCCAGCCTTGTCTGTTTCTCACCTGGATGGTTTTTAGTAAAATGATTTAGTAAAATTTTGTCTGCTGAACAAATAAAAGGATCTTTCATTCTCTCTCCTTCTGCCTTGTTCCTCTGTTTCTTCCTAATAAAATTTGGATAGAAGTGAGGCTTTTCAATCTCATTTTTACTTCAAACACAGTTGGGCTAAAATTATATTTTCATCCAAGGCAATTATATCTTGAACATTTTTAACAGGAGATTCTGTTAACTTAATTATCAGTCTTTTTTCAGCACTCCTACTGAATTCAAATATATTGGTGAAACCCATCCCCTGTTCCTGAAAAGGCAAAACAAGGGGATGGGGTTTTTTTGGCCCCTGTTTTGCTTATGACTCTCAAATGATCAATTACTCTTACAGGAGTGTTGGTTTAACCTTAAATGAAGTACAGTAGGGAAAATAATGCATCAAAGATGATAAAACAGCCAAGAAGTAGACAAGGGACAAAATCTTCCTTTCTCTGATGCCCTAGAAATAGAACTTTCCAGTCAAACAGTTCTTATAACACCAATTGTCTAAATTTGGAGTCAAGAAATTGCTTGTATTCACATGAAGTTAGGAAAAAAAAATAGGCATTTGAGAAAAGCCACTTTTCTAGTTTTGGCCTTTTCTTTCATGTTGATGATTTCTTAGCCAAAAAAAAAAATTATTCCAGTATGGCAAAAAATCATTACTTTTTGAAATTTTTTACACAGTCCAAGTTCCAGTTAGCAGAATGTTAAGTCTGGGCTCTGGAGAGTAATATCAACACACGTGCAAATTATATGTGTTCCATTGGGCACTGTTGGGCTTCAGGTTTAGTGACCATGATTTAGATACAAGATTTTCTGATGTTTCACTAGTAATGGTGGCGTCAGAGGCAAGATGGTCTACTCAGACAAAGAGTAGGACTGACTGGGCTCCTGCCTAGGACTAAATACTAGGCATCCTGCCAGATAAAGCCGGGACTGCCTAGTCCATCTTTAGTCTATCCCTAGCTTTACAACCTGTCTAGACCATGGTCACTGAACCCTAAAGCCCAACAGATACTAGCCATGAAAGCTGACATCAGTATATGTGTATTCTCTTCTTTGATGTTTTATTCTCATCTGCCTCCCTACAACAAGAATGGTTGAATTGGTGGTGTCATTGTAAATAGAATGTTGACCAGAATTATCAGTGTCCAGTTCAAATCGATGCTTGTGGGACCTTGCTTCAATAATTCCCTTTGCAGAGTCTGAGCTTAGTTGTTTGCCTGCGGATGTTTCATAACCTAACTAGGTAACATCAGAGCTCAGTGCTTGCAAATGGACAAAGAACCAAGCTCAGAGCACCAAAGATTCCAGTTCAACCTTGAGTTGCATATATTCTCTTTCATTGGTGTTCTGGGTTAAGATTTGGGAAACCTTGCGTTAATGTCAGGTGTGAAACATCAAGTCCACATGTGAAGGTTCAGTTTAATGTATTTATTGCTAAAACCATATGCACCAGGAATCTTAGCTAACTATTAGCACCTGGTTAGAGTTAGATAAGGGCCAATAGTAGTTAAGGTTAGGGTTAAGGTTGTTACTATGTATTCCAGGCTGGTCCCTCTTTTCACACCTCCTCCTGGTTCTGCTAGTCTTTCTTCTACAACTAATCCTCCACTCTTACCTCCCCACATAATTGTCAAGTGTTTCGGTTAGGATGCAAAAAGCAAGGATTCTTTGGATTGCATTTGCCTGAATTGCTTGAGCAAATTAGCACCAAGACAAATAGCAAAACTCTTTGGTTGTCATTTGGCTTTGGCTTTGTGCCAGTCCTGTCATCCTTTGCAGCCATGCCAATTCTCTGGAAGGAAGAAGGGAATTTCAACAAGAATCACAATGAAAGAAAGCTGCACCTTCTTTCTCAGACATGGTCCTTTAGGAATTTTGCACCTGAGCTTCCAGATTTTGGGCTGCGGTCTTTGTTTCTAGGTATCCTCTTTGCTCTTTCCCTATACATTTCTGTCACATTTTTATGCTTGAAGTTGACAGGGCTGTTGCATGATGAGCTTTACAGGATAGTCTCTGCTAGGGTTTTTTTTCCCCTCCTCCAGGGTTACATGTGGTATTACAGGCAGCTGAAACACATTTTCAGGGGTTCCCAGAAAATGGGATGTGGGAAGGGGAGAAGAGACATTCTGGCATTATGTAATTCTCCAATGGAATCCCTTCTCAGCTGTGAACTCATTGGGTGGTCACTGGTAGTTAGCTGGCTGCAATTCATCAAGAGTCAATTTATCTGTGAACTTGTGGCCCATTGCTCCATTCATTAATAGGAACAGGACCAAATTAAGCTCTGGTCCATTTCTCACATTGAGCCAGTTTTGGGCTCAGATATCTGTCCTCAAAATCAACCACAGTTAACCAAAATACATGACTTCTGATGTATTTTTCATGAAGCATCTGCATTAAAAGTTGGAGATGCAGGGTTAGGCACTATATCCCTTTGCACACACAATGCTCCATCTTTTCTATGGAGATTCTCAATCATCCAGTCATGGTTGTCCCAAAAGTGCTTTTCAAAAGGCAACTGGCCTTTCCTAGTTTTTTTCCTTGAAAACATTTTGCTTCTCATCCAAAAAGCTTCTGAACTTCTTCAGAACTGAAGAAGTTTCTTGGATGAGAAGCAAAATATTTTCAAGGAAAAAAAAACCAAGAAAATCCAGTTGGTTTTTGAAAAGCAGTATTGGGACAATCCTCCATCTTGCTAAAATGTGTAAGAAGCTGTGGTTCTTTAGAACCTACCAGCACTCCTTCCCAGTGTTGTTGAATTTCAACAACATTTGGAGACCATGAGTATTCCCACTCCTAAAAGCAAAGCTAACTTGTACTTGTATCTACAACAGTTCATTTAATGACTGTTTGAAGTTACAATGGCACTGAAAAATGTCTTATGACCATTTGCACACTTATGGTCATTGCAGCATCACCATGATCACATGATCAAAATTTGGACACTTGGCAATTGGTTCATATTTATGACAGTTGCAGTGCCCCTGATCATCTTTTGTGACTTTCTGACAAGCCAAGTCAAAGGGGAAGCCAGATTCACTTAACAACCATGTTACTAATTGAACAGCTGCAGTGATTCACTTAACAAATGTGGCAAGGAAAGTCGTAAAATGGGGCAAAATTCACTCAACAAATTTCTCACTTAGCAACATAAATTCCGTGTTCAATGATGGTCATAAATCAAAGTCTACCTGTATTAATAGCCCATGTTAACCTAATATTCTGTCTTCAGCAAAGCTGTATTATCTTAATCCTAAGGAGGTCAAAGCCTCCTGCGAAAGGAATAGTGAAAGTATACAATGAATTTCTATGAGTTATAACAATAAAAAGAGCAGGTGCGTCCTCCCATTCCCAGGCATCTTGGACTTCTAATCCCAGGAGCCCCAGGTGCCATGGCTAAGATACACCTCATCTTTAGGAGGTTACCAGTCTGGAGGAGAAAGCTCTCCCGTGTGGTACAAATTAGGGCCAAAAAATCATACCAAGATCCACAAAGATCACATTCTCACAACCCTTAAGATTGGATCAGATTTAGGCTCCATTCGTCTACAAAAAGTCTTCTGGGTCGGAGAGCTTAGCTAAAAAAAATTCAGCTTGGGGCACATTAAATGGTTATTTCCTGTAGAAACTGGATTCTTCCCTGTGTGATCCAGAATGACTATTCTGAGCCAATCTCCCCCCCCCTCCCCGAAATAAGACAAGGCAGGACTAACTTTCAGTAAGTGGTAGAAACTTGCACTTACTAGCTCTGAGGCCCCAGAGAGTAAATACTGGTTTCTTGCTTTCTATATTGATGCATTTTTCCTCCATTGTCTTTTATTTATTGAAGTCAATGACCTGATCAGCAGGAGCTTAAGTAGAAATAATTGGGGTTAAATTTCATTGGACTAGTTTTATTGTTACCACTAATGAATTGTTTGCATCATAGAGACTAGGACAAATGTTTTCATCCCTGCATCCCATGACCCATCACTCTTCTCTAAAATACCTTGTTTGTTTTGCCTGTCAAATTTCTTGCTTCCATATCTGGTCTTCCCACAAAAGGACTGGGAAGTGATGATGGGAAGACCACTTATTCTCGAGGCCCCAGAGATCTACAACCAAATTAAGCAGAGCCCACCAGGCGAGATGGACCGATGGCTCCACTCAACAGGAAGAGACTTTCTGGGCTGCTGCAATAGCAAGAGTTGGACACATCACAGAAGCTTGGCTCCTCTTTGTGGCAACTTCTGCGCCCGGCCAAATCTCATTAAGATGCTTCGAACCAAAGGTTGAGAAACAGACTGAACTAGACACAGCAAAAAGTTGGGGAAGATCTGGCAGAGGTTCCCTTGCCTCCGGGCCTTTGTTCCCATCCCAGCTGGGCTTGATTAAGTTCTTTTGGCATTCCGGCACGTTTGTGAGCTGCTCGTTTCCAGCTCGGGGGCCTGGCGCAACAGCAGTCCTTCATCACTGAGTCAGACTAGAGTTGCAAGGGTGGGTGAGTGGGTGTGGGGGGAATCTTTACTTCTCCACCTCTGGAGAGAAGAGCCAGAAAGGGAGGGGGGTGAAGGAGCCGAAAGGCATTGTGAGCTGAGTTCTCCTGGAGGTATTCTCCAATTCTAAGGATTCCTCCAATTTGCTTTGCAAGAGAGATCGGAAGCTGCCTTTTTCTGTCTCTCCCAATTCCCTGCTTGCGGCTTCTTGGAAGATCAGAAAGAAAGGGGGAGTTCTAAAGAACGTGAAAGTTGGAGCTGACAGTTGCCAGATCCAACGGTGACGTAGGCTGCAAGTCCGTTCGCTTGCTTGCTTGCTGGGGACACAGTTTCACACTCATCTTAGAAACATGGCCAGCTGTGTGTAGCACCTCCAGCAGGTAAGAGAAATGGCTCTGTCCCAGCATGGTTTGCAGTTAGCTTTCTAACGACTGTATTCTGGGCAGCAGGAAGTTTCCCTCTGCTTTGATCCTTGTGAAGTAGCAAGCGGGGGTTGCTAGAAGGCCCCTTTGGAGGGGGCAGATTAGCAGCCCAGCAAAACCGATGAACTCAGAAGTTGCGTCTTGGACCCTGGGTTATTAAGCTGCTCAAAAATTATCCCTTATCTGCTTAATGTTGGGTGTATGTGTTGAGAGGGGGGTTGTATTTAGTAAAGACACACAAGGGAGCCCAGGAAGATGTGAAAGAGAAAAGTCAAGCGCTCCGTCCTGCATCATAGACTATTTCACAAATACTTCCAGATGTGTTTTACACATTGTTTTATCTAAAGAGATTAATCGAGCAACTCTGCAGGAGAAATGAAGTTTTTGAACCAGATGGTCTAGTTGCATCATGCTAGAAACATCCCTCTCAAAAGGGTCTGGAGAGAAAATATTGTAGGACGTAGACTTACATACAGATTTCCAAAGAGATTGTGGCAGGGGCTTTTATAGGACCGATTTTAGGACTATTTTTGTTGCCAAAGCTCATGTCTTTTATTTTTCTTGGGCACTCTAATCCACTGAAACTTCTAGCCGTAAGTCATCAGTTGGTGAACTGCACGTTCTTCTTAAATTCAAATTCCTTAGTGATCACACAAAGCTTTAAAAATGGCTAAAACCCTCTGGAGGAGCCCCCCTACTCTAGTTTATGACTTGGCTAAGTTCCTCAAGTTTTTACAGACGATATTTCCTGTAGAAGTTAACTTCTGTAAGCTATGGAATCATTTTGACCTAACATTTTAGCCTTTGAGAGGTTGTTACTCAAATTATTTCAAGTGCTGAATTATCCAGATGGTTCATAAATGGCTGGGTAAACGCCTGAGGGCAGGAGAACCTCACAACTTCCCATCTTACATTCATGCCACACGATGATAAGTATCTGTTTCTCCTCTAGTCAGCAAAGCCCTTGTGGTCCTGTGATTGGAGCTGCATTGTGGAGTTTCTTTTCTGTTTGGGATCTAAGGGTTGCCACCTCTATTTTAGTCTACTCTTTCCATTGGCATAGATTGCTCAAACCTAAATGTTTCTCCTCCTCCTTGGTATAGCGAACCAGATCAATGCTAGCTCTTCTTTCACTCTCGAGATATGTTGGGATACAGCTCCCCTCATCTTCTCCCAACATGGAGAAGCCTGCTCAGTCTACACCACTTCCAAGAGTAGATGGGACCACTTAATGAGGGAGTAAGGAGCAAGGGAAAGAATAAGTGCAAGTGTCCTGGATCCCTTGCTTCTTTGGAAACGTGAACCGAAATTGTGTGACAGTGGAAAAATTAATGCACATCCCATTTGACTCCAAGACGGTTGGGGCAATAATCTCATGATCTCATCAGAAAGATAGGAGTTGGAATTTTTAAGCCCAGTTTGCTTTTCCCCCTCCTCTTCTTAATGTACTGATTCTGTCAAGTGTCAGTGTATCTATTCTCTTACTTCCCATCTGAAAATCACTTAAGAATTTATATTACTGTAATTCAAGTTTGAAACTGAATTTCACTGGAACAACCCTGTGGTGGGGGACCATGTGGGGCTCTAACCCTGATATTTTTGTCTACCAATTCAGTGTTAGAGCAACCCTTATATACCGTCTACACTTTAAAACATTTTTAAAGGTTCATCTCTCAGTTGGCATTACTTTCGAAGCCATAAAAACCCTGGACCAAGGAATATGGAGGGTTTCCATTTTGTACAGGCTGTTCCTGCCTGATCCTATGTCTCTACAATCTGCCCTCAACTTGCAACCATTTGTTTAGCAACCGTTTTAAATTACATCATCGCTTTAAAAAAAAGGTGACTTACAACTAGTCCTTGCACTAGGATACTGCAGTATCCTGACATAGAATAACACAGTAGGAAGGGATCTCATTTAGTCCAACCCCCTGCTCAAGCAGGGGTCTATTCCAAATATTAGCCTCTACCTAGGATTGAACTCACAGCCTCCTGGTTGTGAAGTGGGAACTCCACCTCTAGGCTACCACACTGGTGTTAAATAAAGCAACAGGACCCAAATTCAGGCATTTGGCAATTGGCAAGTAGTTGGGATGGTTGCAGCATCCCGGGACGGAGTGGGGGTGGCTCACATGGTTAGGATGCTGGGTTGACAATTTGCAAGCCTGCGTTTGAAGCCCGAGTGCTGCTGTTGCGTCAGAGTGAACTCCCGTTCCTTGCTCCATCTCCTGCCCACCTAGCAGTTTGAAAGCAGGAAAACACAAGTAGATAAATAGGTAACACTTTGGTGGGCTCATTAACAGAGACAGGAAAGAAGGCCCCAATGAAGTCACTGGCTAATCCTTTCACCACGGAAGCGCTTTGGTGCTTCAGACATGGGAGGAGGAGGAGGAGTAGCATCCTGAGGTCAAGTGGTTGCCATTTGCGACCTTCCCAGCCAGCTTCTGTTAAGCAGAGTCAATGGGGGAAGGTAGATTTGCTAAATGACCATGTGACTCGCTTAGCAACTGTGGTGAATCATTTAACAATGGTGGCAAAAAGTAAAATTGGGAGTGACTCCTATAACAATGCTTTATTTAGCAATGGAAAGTCTGGTTCTAATTGTGGTTGTCAGTTGAGGACTACTTTCATCTTATTGGACGTAAAATCAGGATGGAAGGCTGTAAATGTTAATTTCAACTTTTCAACACCATTTTCATTGGCTGCCAGGGTTTCCTTACTGATTTGCAACTATTCTCTAATATATGCACGAAAAGTGATGTGCATTTTTGTATCCCTTCCACGAAGCATGTTTTTGTTCACTTTTCTAATAGAAACACCTTTTGTAAATACAGATAGTCCTTGACTTCCAACAGTTCATTTAGTGACCATTCAAAATTACAACAGCTACTGAAAAAAGTGACTTATGACCATTTTTCACCTTTATGTCCATTGCAGCTTCCCTATGGTCACGTGATTTACATTCAGATGCTTGACAACTAACTCATATTTATGACCATTGCAGTGTCCCAGAATTATGTGATTCCCTTTTGTGACCTTCTGACAAGCAAAAACAATGAAACCCAGTTCACTTAACGACGGTGTTACTAATTTAAGAACTGCAGGGATTCACTTAACAAATGTGGCGAGGAAAATCATAAAATGGGGCAAATTCACTTAACCAATTTCTCATTTAACAATATAAATTTTGGGCTCAATTGTGGTCGTAAGTTGAGGACCACCTGTAATAGGATGTGCTTTTATTAATACTTTTCAATAAAATGTATTTTTTTGGTTTCTAGATAGTTTTTGCACTCAGCAAGTTCATCTAGAAAGTGAAGTTAGTTCATTTCTCCAGAAACTGAATCCCAATTCATAGAAGAGTGGAATAAGAAGGGACTACTAAGATCTTCTAATCTAACACTCAGCATTTTATGATTAAACCAATTAAACTGGTATTTCTTAACCATGACAAGTTTAAAAAGTGTGGACTTCAACTCCCAGAATTCCCCAGCCAGCATGGAGAATTTAAAAGCCACAGACCCCCTAAATTAACTCTTCCGCTGTATCTTTCTATGGATCTTTCTATCAGAAAGTTTTTTCCTTTTATTCAACCAAGATCCAACTACCAGGAGCTGCAACATCAATCCATTATTTCTGGAAAATCCATAACAGTAAAGGCTAGCATTTTATCCACTCTGTCATTTTCCCACAAAAGTATTTATTTTCCCATTATATTCATTTTACAGATACTTTTATTTTTAAAAAATTAATGTACTTTTATTTAAGATGTATAAGATTTCCTGTACTCCCCTCATTTTAGAATGGCAATATAGAACACAGTTTTAAGTAAATAATTTGTCTTTGTTGGATATTTTACATAAAGTTCTTCAAGTCTGTTGAAACATTTGCTTCTAGTTGATTTTGACACTGGGAAGAATTTATTCGGTCTTACCCAGAATGGACTGTCTTTTTCAGAGATCAAATTGTTAGTATGAAAGCACACAGAAGTTTTTCTTGATTCTAACACCTCTTGAAAATATTATTAGCAGCTGGCATAAGTTTAGCTTTGAAGAAGTGTATCAGGATCCAGAAAATCAAGGCATTTTTGCCAGAAATCAGCACAAGTCTAAATTAGATTGCTGCTGAATTTGCCTCAAGGAAATTTAAGATAAGTACTTTTATTTCCAGCACAGTGTGTGCTGTCCAGCAGGAAATTTGGTAATAGTTTGAAAGAAAAGCCAATCGTTTTCAAAAGGTATTCTATTCATTTTCAAAATCAAATTTGACCAAAGTAAGGCTAAACCAAACTGAAAATGTGAAGAATTTTTCTAAAATATTTTTTTCCCAAATTACAAAGAATGTTACATTTAAAAGCATTCACAAATGCCTTTTGTTGCTATAGAGGGCTTATTGTAGAAGGACAGGCAGAGTCAAGAGGTGGAATCAAGAGAGGAATCAGCCTGGAATCATTATGTTGCCACAAGAGGTCTAAGTCAAACCCATCTTGAATTCTTTTAATTCTTATCTAGTGCCAATTTAGTGCTGACTGTTAAATTGACTAGATTCTGGTATATAGGCAGGACCAATAAATCACTTTAACTGGAACTTATAGTGTGGTCCTGACTTTTCATGCTGGAGATTTGTTTACAGAATGTGGTAAAAATATTAAGATGATGGTGTGCATCACAGAAGAAAAAAAACAGAATAATAGAATAACAGTTGGAAGGAACCTTGGAGGTCTTCTAGTCCAACCCCTTGCTCAAGCAGGAGACCCTATACCATTTCTGAAAGTGGTTGTCCAATCTGTTCTTAAAAGCCTCTAGTGATGGAGTGCCCACAATTTCTGTAGACAAGCTGTTCCACTGGTTGAGTGTTCTCACTGTCAAGAAATTTATTCTTAGTTCTTGGTTGTCTGTCTCCTTGATTAGTTTCCATCCATTGTTTCTTGTCATGCTTTCAGGTGCTTTGGAGAATAG